CTTAGCTAGGTGTAAATTTTGTTGCTCTTTCTTTTCTACTAAGGGTTCTAGTATTGCTTCTTAGTGTGTTTTGTGATGTTTTTCTCATTTTGCTTCTTAATAATTTTGGTCGAGGGATCTGCAGGTGAGAGTTGATCCTCAGTATTAAAAGATTCTGTTAGATTTAATAATATCAAAAAATAAAATAATATTATAATCAAACTAATACTTATTAAACAGTATATTCAACATTACTTTGATAACTAAAAAGTTTCTAAAAATATTTAATTACAACTATTTAATACAATATTGCAACAAAAATACTAACCCAAATCTAATATTAATTTTATATAATTTTAATTAGTACTTAATGAATTTTTTTCAATAAAAGTTCTTAAAGTTATTAGCCAACTTCCTAATAACAAAGTATGTGAGCTATCAGGCATTAGCTATAAAATACTTAAATATGCTAAAACATTATTTTTTAATATAATTATAGCTTTTTTTAACTGCTATCTTACATCTGATTAAATTCTAAACTAATAAAAAAAAAATTTTTTTTATTTTTAAAAAGTTTATTTTTGATAACAATCTAACTAATATCAAACCTATTAGTTTGCTTAAATATGTTAAAAAACTTTATACCAAACTTTTTACTAATTAACTTAATTATATCTTTACTTATTACAAAATTTTATCATACTTTAACTATATAACATTATCAAGTAATAGCATAGCTATTTTTATATACATTTTTAACAATATTATCAAAGAAGCTTTCTGTAATTTTAAACATCTTTGGCTTCTATTTTAGAATATAAGTAAAGCTTATAATTCAGTAAATCATATACTTTTTATTAAATTCTTATTATGTCTATATATGTTACTTAATCTTATTAATATTTTTACTAATTTTTTTTTTTTTTAAATATTAAGATGAGTATTTGCAACTTAGAATTTTATTGATAGTATATTTGGCTAATAATTGCATAATAACTACAAGGGACAATCATAGAAAGAGTATACAATTAGCTACTTATACAACTTTAGTTATTGTTTAATTTAGTAGTTTACTCAAAGGTTCTATACTAGCTATCATACCTAAAATTTACTTATAAGTTTCTTATTTAAACATTTAGTTTTTATATTCATCTATCTATTTCTGCTTATCAATAACTCTAGCTATTGCTAGTAAAGATATGCCATAGCTACTAAGTCTTTAAGATAGTTCATTTATATAAGGAACTTTTAATTTTGTACTAAATTTTCTAAAATCTTCTATATCCTATTCTTACAACTAACTTGATAATACTATAGCTAAGACTAATACTTGAAATCAGAGCATATTATTAAACTGTCATGTCCTTGTAGAGTTTACTTTAACTCTAGTACTGATTTTATAACATATCTCTACTACTTTGATATTCAATTCAAGTTTTACTAAGCTTTCAAACTAGATAGCTTAGAAAGATAGATTGTAATTATATTTCTAATTTATATATTCTTTAATATGTAACATTTTTCTCTAGAACAGATTTTGGCAGTCTGGCTGGTTTTATTCAGCACTTTCTTAAAGGCTAGCTCTTTGTCTAACTTTACAAGTTCTAGCTTTATTTTATAGATTTAGTCTTTATAACAGCATTACTATATTAAAAGTTCAAGCTAACTTTCTACTTAAATCTTTCAAATAGACTTTTATCTTTTTAGTTTTTGTGATTTATACAGTCATAAAAACTTATCATAGGTTCACACTATTTGATATCATTTATGTTTCTTTGTACAAAGTACAACTATTGCATAAATGCTATATGATCTTTTAGTCAGACTGATATGATACAAGTAATAGGTATCTGATTTCAACCAATAGTAGAAGACAGTTAATTATAATACAAAAAAAAATTAAAATTTTTATCAATACTGGAATTTGAACTCTAGACTTGCCATTTGAAGATTAACAACCTGACTACTTTACTAGGTTACTACACCTTTATCTTTACTAATTTGCTTACTAATTAGCATAATTAAGTTATTACAAATTTAGATCTTACTAACTCTTATAATATAAAAAATAGTATTGATTAAAGAAAAATTATGACTATATTATTCTAAAGAATCTATTACAATTCTTTAATTAACAAAATAGCTTTAGACTTCTTAAAATATATTTTGACTACAAAGTAAAATACTAGTTTGCTTTAGCCAAAGTTTCAACAACTTTAAATTTCAATATTTGTATTAGCATATATAAACAATACACTTTGGATAGGCAAATTCAAAAAAAATTACAAATAATTATTGCTATAGCTATCTTCTTTTATTATATAACTAATATATAAATTAATCTAACTAAATTAATTTTTACTTTAAATATCTCATTTACAGCTTTTATTTACTTTTTTAGTTTATTATTTATACCTATTCTTGCCAACTAACTATTCAAATTCTATACAAAACAAAGCCAATTAATTTATAATGAAGCAATTCAACTTATTAACATTATAGTTACAAAAAATATTACAAACATACAAGCTATATATATTACTAACACTGTAATTATTTCCATTATTGAATACAGACTAAAGTTTACTGTTAGAAAATATAAAAAAAACATTATTAAGATTATTTTAAAAAAACAATTTTAAACTAATTAAATAAGAAAAAAATATAAATCAGAAAAAAACTTATCAAAGGTTTTATCTAAAAAAAAATAGTAATAAGAATACAAGACTTTCTAGTCTTAGTACAAAAAACAAAAAATTTTATAACAAGTATCACAAATGCTATATAAAATGAATTATATAAACCAATTTAGAGAAAAAAATATTGTAAAATATGTGAATAAAAAGAAAATTAAAGTATTAGTACAAGAAAAAAAAAAAATAGAGAAGTAGCAGAATATATTATTACACAAAATGGTATAAGAATTAAGAGACAAAAAAGCTAAAAAAAAAAAGTTAAAAAAAAAATAGAAAACTTATATAAAACACTAATAAGAAAGTTAATTAATAATAATAAGAGACTTTACTAAAATGGTCTTAAAAACTAGCCTGAATAGCTCTTTAGCATTGAGTATAAACTTACACTAATATGGCAGACCATTTCTAAGCACTTTTACAATAGCTAAAAGATGTCAAACCTGTAAATTAAGCTAATATTTATGTAGTTAATTATGCAATTCTCTTAATAAATATTATTGGCAAAGCTGCCAAAGTTTAAAAAAAAAAAATAAAAATAAAAATAAAAATAAAATCTTACTTATTAGTAAATATTTTAAAATTCTGCTAAAGATGTTCATTTTTAAAAAGATACTTATTTTTAAAAAAATATAATAAAAAACATCTAAACAAATATAAAAACTATAATGCATTAACTTCTTTAATTAAAAAACTATTTACAATACAACTATTTACAATACTTTTATACAACTATAATAGTCCAAATCCAAACATTATAAAATATTTTAAAAGAACAATATATATTTATGTTTATATAACATTCCAAACCATTTACATTAATATTTTAATACATGTTCACCAATTAGACAAACTATTAAAAAAATTAATACAGTTGCATCTTTTTAAGTGCATTCTGTCGGGATCATAGTGAAAAAAATTAAACCTTTTGCACTTAAAAGAGTTTACACTTATAAAGAATAAAATATATAGGGTTCTTATAAGTTGGAACCAAAATGTATCATGCATTTAGAGGTTTTATATAGTACTTGCACTTAGGGGTGCGACTGTATATGGTTTAAAAATTTTTTCTTTAATATTAGAATAAAAGAAAAAGTTAGAAGTTAGAGTAATATATAATTATATATCAATATAACAAAATTTAGCAAAAAAATTTTGGTTAAAGCACAAAAGATTAATGATGTTTTTAAAAAGTTTTTTGCTGTAATAAATTATATTATGTATACAGATTATAAGCTTATATTATTACATTGTAAATAAAAAACATAAATAATACGTATGTCTCTTAGAAACATTAGCTACAAATTTCTATATACAGTATTTAAATGTAAATCGATATTTTATTATCAACATTTTTTATATACAGTATCAGTGAAAAGGTAGTTTCGATATTATATAATATTTGATTTTAGAAATTAATAAACAATAATTCAATATTAAATCAGTAAATGGTTAATTGTTAACGTTAATTAATCCTAGAAATATCGTTAAATGTTTTGACTAATTTCTAACAAAATAATTTTCTTAAGACTATAAAAAATTTAGAAACATGTGTTTATAAATGATTATTTTATTGGTTACAATACATTTTTTATCATTTTCATTTTCTGCATTTTAAACATTTTTAAATAAATACTTTTAAAAAGTCAATTTATTTAGAAATTCTCTGTTAAAAATAAAAATAAAAATAATTAGTAAATATATTCAAGTTGATTAATAGTAAACTTATGATGATATCAAGAAAGCACACCTTTTCCGTAGAAAAACCTTGTACCATCATCAAATCCTTGGCTCCATAAATTACATTTTTCATGCAGTTGTTTTCCAAGCGGTTTTGGACCGCAAAAGAATACACCTACATCGGTAGCCGGATATTGGTCTCTCATGTTTGAAAAAATTTTATCCCAATTTGGACGTCCAAAATGCGTTGGCGCTCTAAGACCTGTGATGGTGTCTTTTACATTGCCGTCATCATTAACAAGAATGTTTCCTACTTCTGAATGGCGCAATCTGCCAGTTAGGTACGTATGAATTTCAATAAATTGTTCAATATCTTGTTCTTCAAGAGCTAACAATAGCGATTGGAACCATTCAAAAGACTTTTTTAAAAAAAATTTGATTGTTAATATTTTTATATTTTTAAGCAATGCATTAATAATATTGAAATGGGGTAATGTTTGGATTACATGACTTATCATGAATAATCACGAATAAAGACTCACATCGTAATCACGGCAAATCCAGAAGAAGTATACTTTACGAAGTTTGGTGGATTTTCTTGGATAATTGACCCGATACCTAATATATTTAAAAGTGATGAATAAATATTCAAGGATAAAATTCAAGAAAAAATAATATGGATATGAATTAATGAAACTTTACCAAATACTTTTAAGAATACTAGCAAATGGAGTGACACCAATACCAGCACCAACGAGCATAGCAACTTCAAATTTGAATACATCCTCAGATGCACTGCCAAAAGGACCATCAACCATAACACGAGGTAAAACTTTTAACAATTTAGGATTATCAGCAGAAAGATCAATACCATCGTATTGACTTTTTATGCGGTCTCTATTCTTCTTACGTAACTCAGCTTCTTCTTCAAAATTACAACCAAGTTGTTTTGCCAAAGCTTCAGTAAAATCACCAACAACACGGATGTGAATTGAAATATAACCTTCTTCGGGAGCGGAAGTTAAAGTAAATGGGTGCCATTGCCAGTAAGAAACTTCAGGACAACATAAAAAGATATATTGACCAGCTTTTGTAGCAACGTTCTTTTTGATTTGAATTTCAACAACACGAGAAGGATGCATGACAACTTTTGAAATGAAAGTTTTTTGTTGGGCTCTTATTTCACGGAGAATACGTTCACTAACATAAATGACACCAGAAGCGATCCAATATTTCCAAAATACAGCAATATCGTTACAAAAAGGAGCACGATCGGGCTTGATCATACAGAAAGCACCGTGAAATGACCAAGCACCGAAGAAAGGAATGAAAAGATGATGAAGGTACCAAAAACGATTAAAGTGACGACGTCTGGCATTGTCAGTAGCAGTATACACCATTATACCTAAGCAAATTAACATAACATAACCAGTAGCACCAGGACCAGTGGCGAAGTTAAGTTCAAGCCACATAACAATACCACCATTTTGAGCTCTGGCGAGCTCGTAAAAGTTGATCCAATGAGAAACGGTGTGAACAATAGTGAAGAATAAGAGAGACCAGCCGATAGCTTTGTGGAATTCAATGTTCTCATCAAAAGGGATAATACCATTTAGGGGAGTAGAACGAAGCATAGAAAGTAAGTTTCTACAAACAGGGAATAAAATCATAGCAGCATCAACGTGTAAGACTAAGGCAGCAGAACGTGCCATTATGAAAGTAAGACCAAAGGTTTGTCGAGCAGTTGAAAGATTATCGCTAAAAAAGAAATTAAGAAAGGCCATGGTAAACACAAGTGCATGAAGAAATATCCATGTGCCAAAAAAAATGGTTCGAGCTCCTACATATGTGATCAATATAAATATTAGTAAAAACATATATATATATAAGTAAATATACATAGATTTATATATATACGTTAACATATAATAAAGTTACCTTCATTAATCATCCATGATTGAAATTTTTCAGCAGTAGTAACAGGTTTTTTGACAGTTACACTTGAATTAAAACCATAAGTGGGATCAAACTTATCAAGTTTTGGTATTTGCTTTACGGAATCACCTCTTGCAAGTTTTCTAATAGGGCTTGGTTCTGCTTTCCTAGTTGAAGTGTACCTATGAAGGGCAACTTCTTCAGGATATAATATATTTCCGGGAGAACTAGAAATGTCTGTTGTAAAACTTTCTCTATTTGCTTCGTATTCAGAAATAAGTCTATTATCACCATTTCTATCACTACTGTCCCCTTTGTATGGATTATATCCTGGAGCAGAAGTTTCTAAATTTCTAGCGTTGCTCATTTTTATTCAGGGTGGTGGTGGTGGTTTTTTTTTTTTTTTTTTTATACAAGGTGTTATTTATTTCGAAGTGCTCAACAAGAATTTTTGGATAAATTTACAAAGCTCGGCCAGCGAGAGAAAGAGAGAACTCAATATCGTATATGTTTAGGACGAGGGTTTTATGATTTTTAAAAAAATGAGTGAATAAATTGAGAGAATAAAAAAAAATAAGGAGCCATAATAAATTATAATAGCAACCACTCATCTTTGACAGGCAGGTTAAAAATAATACTAAATATATCAATACAAGATTCGATTGTATTGATGACAGTGGGATGGCAACACTATTACTAAATATGGTTGATATAGATCAGGAGAAATACATACGACGTTTTAAATAACTATAACACATTTGTGCACCAGTAAACCATATGGGGCATTTTTTAATAAAAAAAACCTTCTTTGTATGCTTTTAAATGACCCGCGGATCGGTTTTAGGATATTAGTGCCGGAAAATACAACAAACAATTTCAACCGATGCCGAGTTTTTTTTCTATGAATCTAATATCAGAGAACCAATCATTTGTGAGTGTTATTTAGTTGATTAAAAAAAATACCAATAAAAGTAACTAAAAGGACGAAACCGTCCGGAAAGGTCTTCCCCTAAGTTTGAACTTGGAATATGTCAAAATCACCTGAGGTCTGTTACATTCATCCAAATATTCAAATATTTAGCTAGAGGAAAAAAAAAAAAAAGAAAAGTATACCATCATGGTTAATAGTTTAATTTTAGACTGAAACCATTTTATAGTAAATAGATATTACGTACATACCTGAAAATCGAGACTCTTAAAGATCTTGAATTCCTGGAATTCTTGGATGAATAATTTCAAGCATTTTTTTTTAAATAAGATTCAATGTTGGTATGATTTTCCGAGCTTATAATGGATTAATTAGAAACATTAGAACTGTGAGCCTATGATATACGATAAATGGATTTTGAAAAAAAAAACAAATTTGAAAATAAATAAAGATTTTCATGTCACTAATGAACATCTTTGAAGTCAAAATGAAGAATGTATTAGATATTACGAATGCACCAATTCCCTTGAATATAAATAATTGAAAATAGAAAATCCGATTGACAACAGTTTATGTTTATTCAACAAGAAATTAAAATAAAAATAATTGCACAATCACAATTTATAGAAATCTAATGTCTTAATCATACATTTGTATCGTCTAAAACTAGATGTTATTATGATTATACAATAATAATGATAATGATATACAAGTCACTAGATATACTCGCCACAATCAATAAATAATGTATCACTGCGGCCAATGATCAATATATTACAGCAGTTGTTGGTGATTTCAGATGGGATTTACATGAAAAGAGATTTCGATAAACTACCACAAAATTAATGTTTGGAAATTAATTAGTAATTAAATGAAAATGATGTCATTAATGCTGATAGATTACGCATTTTAGAAGATGGTTCTTGACAAACAGAATTTCAACAAGGTCAGAATCCCGACAAGTTGGCTCGCATTAACTGTAGTTCCGGTCAATTTTTGTCAAGATTTTGTTTTTCAGGAATCTGTTGACCACTTGGAATATTGTACGTACTGTAACCGTTGATCATAATAATAGGTATCAGTTTATACAAGTTGAAGCCCTGATGAGCAGTCTATCGTCGTTTTTTTCAGTTCTTTTCAATTCATAACAGGTTAAGAGTCTTTTGTGCCAAATGTGAAATATGAACGTATTTAGAGAAAGTAGATTAATTGATAGCATTTTCTTAAACAATTATATTTAATGTGTGAAGTTATAATCAAAAAATCGGAATTTTCGAAATTAGCCGTGCTTATGAAACGTTAATATTCTCATATGTAATATATGTTGCAAAAATGAAACCTAAAAATATACACTACTCAGGTTGATTCAATCATTTCGCCGACAGGTCATCACACTGCGTGACAATTCATTATATATATGAGTGACGAAAAGGGAAAACCTGTAAATCATCTCACTCAATGAGTGAAATGGTTTACAGGTTTTCCCTTTTCGTCACTCATATATGAATGCAGAATCTATTTCCAGGGTTTCACTCATATAGAATTAAGGCTGTTGAAAGTCCGCCGATCCTTCCCGCCCGGACTCCATAAATAGGGGCTTTGGTAATTTATTAACAACAATATCAGATATTACATGCGATTGGAACAAAAGACATGCAGGAATGTACTTCCTAAATTTGGACTTCGCCCGAAACAGGCTTAGAGTCGGTCTCAAAATATTCGAGTGAAGTCGACTCAAGGACTGGTTCCGCAACTCGCAACATGTTAAAGTGTCACCTTATGTGATGACGGCTAAATGACCTGTCAGTGAAGTGAGTCGCACCGGGTGAGAACATCGAATTAAAATTTGCATCCAATTAAAACTTAATATTAGGTAGGATCATACGTAATTATACGTAATTATTTTTAATCGGACACAGTTATCAATTTGATGTACAACATAATCGACATGTAACAAATTTTAACAAAAACAAGTACGTATGACTATTTGATATTAATGTTTTCAAATATTTTTGTTATGTCAAATTAATAATAATTATTACTATAGTACTAAATACTAATTCGAAGAACCCTATTGAAACAGCCATGTAAGCTAAATAAATCTGAAAATATCCGATGATTTGGTTGTTCTTGCAGGAAGTTACATCATGGATTTGCATTAGCTTAGGTTCCTGGATATAGACCTTTAAGGCCTTACATAGAATTTGTAAAGATTCTTGCGTTATTAAACATTCCAACAATACTTTAAATCATATCGTTCGCATTAACATGCCTTTTTTTCACATGAACAATTACATAGGTGCTTGACAAAAATCGGTTGGCACAGTATTAAATTGTCTATAGTCTATAGATAGTTAAGAATATAAACTTAAAATTACAGTATATCAGTATATATATTTGTACATATATATATGCAATATATGATGATTATTATTTATTCTCTAAATATTTATAATAACCACAGCAAATTATATACAAAATTAGTAGTTATTGTTTTTTGCGAATTAATTCAAAGATTGTTGAAAATGGTTCAATCATTGTCAAAGTAAAATTTGGATCATTATCTCCCTTTTTTATAAATTTAAAAATTAATTAATAGATGTTATTGAAATCTCATTACATGATTAAAAAAGGACCAGATCGTTCTTTACGATGTTTACCGCTACCGAATATTGGTACTTAAACATACGTAAAAGGAATATTTAATATAATAATAATTAAAATAATATGCAGACTTGTTTGTTTGAGCCTGAAATCCAACATATAAAGGTAACAAGATACACACATAAAGGCAATAAAATTTTCCTTGAAAAGGCAAATTTGGAAAACCGACGAAGTATGCATGCAAGGTTATCATATCAGTTCATAACAATGTCTGTTCAATTTGGCTAAAGCAGAGGTCTTTTTTTTTTGATTGCCACTTCTGTGCCTGAATATCTTGACTATCATTTTTGGTTTCATAAGAATACTTACCTTCTGTAGGTTAAATGTAATTTACCTAATTTTTGAATTTCGGTTTTGAATTTCGGTTTTTGTTTCGAGGTGTAAATCTTTTTTTTTATTGTGACGTAGATCATACATATTTTTATATATTCTTGTGGGAAAGTTTTAACATCATTTTGTACCATTCCAAATATTTACCGGTAAAGTAAGCGAATTATGCATTCAATAAGATATAGTTCACTTATTTAAACCACAAAAACACAAGCGATATAAAATGCAGGAAATAAGCAGGGTAATACATAAAAATATCAGCATAAATTTGACCCAATCATATTATTTTTCTAGATGCGTGTAACTACTATTCTGCTTATCATTAACCAATAATATTTATTCATATGTTAAAAAAACTTTAACAATTTCTTTCAATTTACGACGATCTATTTCAACACTCGAAAAAAAGAAATATTCCTTCATTTTTTAAACCCTATATAACCCTATATAATCCTATATAACCCTATATAACCCTATATAACCCTCGGGGCATTCAAGCAACCGCGATACTATCTCGTCGTATATATCTTTTTTTTAACGATATAAAAAAAATAATATATAATATATATATAATATATATTTTATATATATTTAAATATACATATAGACTTTTGTAGATTTTTGTTAGCGAGATATGTCTATGTTATATTTTAACGTTGAAAGCGCCAAAAGCAAAAATATATAAACAAAAAAAAAAAAAATCTATAGTTACATTACATATATTCACCTTTTCTTTATCGGTTCTTGTTTTACTTTTTCAAAGACTGTGTCTTTGGTTCAGTTTGAGGGTTTGGTGGGCTCACTTTTATTTCCTTTAAAAATCTTTTTGTTTTTCCAAAAAAAAATTATTTACATATAATCGCATATTCGTTGAATTTAGCTTGACTGGTAATAAAAAAAAAATCTCATAAATAATATATACTTAATCAAAACAAATAATATGTTCTCAGCAAATAAACGAAAACAATTTACATCATCAAACCCAAATGATACAATCCCTCAAATACCACGCCGAAATGTTAATTCTTCCTCAAAGACCTCTTCCACAAAAATTGTTCCAAAACTCGTATTACAAAAAGACACCAAGGCTCCAAAACCTTTTGATACCTCCGAAGTAGCTGCTGATGCTGCAACAATAACGAAAACTACTACCACTACTACAGTTACTACCGTTACTACTACCATTTCAGCTAAAAATTCTGATGGAAGTGGTCCTCTTTATCTCGATCTTGGTGATTTTAGTTTTTCACCTCTTGAACCTGATGAAAACGGTGACCTGCTCACTAGCAGTTCAATTTCTTCTATCGATGATACAAAGAAAACTGCTCATGACAGTTCTACTTCTTCTCCGATTACTAGTAATAGTAGCATTTATGATACTCCAACTATTAAATTTACTTCAAAAAATCTCTCTGACATTGATGGTTCTTCAAATGATCAATCAAAACAAACCTTTCCTTCTTCAAAAAAAGGTTTATCGAATATTAATTCGCAAACTGATAATATTCCAAATTATTTAAAATCTCGAAAACAACATCATCTTAAACGTATGGAATCTGCTCCTGTAATACATACTCCTAATGTTTCGACAAACGATGAAAATGAAAAAAGTTCTATTCCCACTGCTAAATCATTGATAAATTTAAATAATAGTAGTAATATTAATAATATGTCTCCAAAAATTGAAACAAAACCTGGTTCTGAAACGCCAATACAATATCTTGAAAGAATGCGTTATACTCTTTCTAAATCAAATTTAGCCACAATGCTTGCCAAGAAGTGCGTAAATTTATTATTATTATGATTCCTCCAATTTTTCGCTTATCAATGTTTTGTTTTTGTAGATCTGACGCGTTTCATCAAGCTGCACTTAAAGCTTATATGGAATCATTCGATTTTGAAAAAGATCCTATTGATATCGCGTTAAGGTATGTGGTAAACGGAATTTTGAATAGTATTTTAGTATAATTTAATAGTATTCAATAGTATAATTTAATAGTATCCAATAGTATTCAATAATATTCAATAGCATTTAATATTATTTAATAGCAGTTATTATCATTGTTATGATTTAATACATTGCGGAAATCGTACATTTTTACGATAATAACAAAACATCCTAGATCTAGTGTAAATGATTATTAATATAGGTCGCTAAGAGGAAGAATCGCAAATTTAGGTTCTTACTAGCACTATTAACGAGATTTTTTGAC